AAAAAAAAACAGGTCATCTTCAGTCGACCTATATAGCTGTAAGTCATTCATTTCCCCCCCGACAATCTGTGTTTTAACAGTCTATTTGTTTTTTAGTGGCTATGTATTTCATGATGTGTTTGTTACAAAATGTATCCCTCGGTTTTCTTTTCATTGGTATCTACTTTGTTTTCAGTCCTTTGCCATAATGAGCAATACGACCACAATGTTTTTCATTTAAACTTACTTTCTGCTGCATATATCTCTATGAAACAGTCAATATTGAGAATGTTTGGCTAGAGATTATTTAGTTAAATGATTGATGTATTTTGTATCAGTTTTTTGTTGAGATGTGATCTTTCTCTTATACACACACACACACACCCTAAGTTTATAAGCCAAATTTCACAAATATGCACCCAGTTCAAGAAACAGAACATTTCTATCTTTCCCAGAGGCCCATTTTGTGCTCCCTTTGGTCACTATTTCTCCTCCCAACTCCTAAGACTGATGTATGCACTTTTATTTTTTTTATTTTTTATTTTTTTTTGAGTTGGAGTCTCACTCTGTCCCCCAGACTGGAGTGCAGTGGCTGCTCCCGGCCACCGCAGCCTCAACCTGCTGGGCTCCGGCGATCCTTCTGCCTCAGTCTTCCAAGTAGCTGGAATTACAGGCAAGCGCTACCACGCCCGGCTGATTTTTTTGATTTATTGTAGAGATGAGGTCTCACTGCCCAGGCGGGTCTCGAACCCGCGGGCTCAGGCAATCCACTCACCTCAGCCTCCCAAGGCGTGGGGTTACAGGCTGAGCCACCGACCCCGGCATTTTTTTTTTTTTTGAGTTGGAGTCTCACTCTGTCGCCCAGGCTAGAGTGCAGTGACACGCTCATGGCCACCCCAGCCTTGACCTGCTGGGCTCCGGCGATCCTTCCACCTCATGCTTCCAGGTAGCCAGAACTTCAGGCGCACACTACCACATCTGGCTAATTTTTGATTTATTATAGAGATAAGGTCTCACCAAGTTGCCTGGACGGATCTCAAACCTTTGGGCTCAGGCAATCCACTCGCCTCAGCCTCCCAAAATGCTGGGATTACAGGCTGAGCCACTGAGCCCAGCCCTTTGCTCATTTTTCTGTTGAGTTGTTTGTCTTTTTCTTGTCAATGGATAAGAACTTGTATAATGTAGATGCTAATGCTTTGTTGTTTTTGTTCCAATAGTATTCCCAGTACTTTTTTTCCTTTTGGATGTGATGCTAGTTGTACCAGGCCTATTTATTAATCTATCTTTTTCTATTGAATTAAAATGCGATCTTTGTTGAATATTAAATTCTCAGAAGTCCAGGGATCAGCCTCTGGGCAGCCTATTTTGTTCTAGAGGTCTTTTCTCTCTCTCTTTTTTTAAACTTACATTTCTTGTCATTTTTTCAGTTATTTAGTATTTCACATGCACTTTGAAATTATTTCATTAAACTAAAAGATCCCCATTGTGTCTTTCATTGGAATTGCATTAAATTTATATTTGGAAGAATTAAACATTTTGTGATATGTTTTCTAATGCTCTGTCTTTCCATTTTTGCAGATCTCATTTTATGCCTTTTCATAACATTTTAAGTTTCCATCATGGAGGGCCTTGTGTCTTTTTTGTTACATTTATCCTAAATATAGATTTTTTTCTATTGTATATGAAATATTTTCCCCCATTTACTTTTCTTAATTGTTATCACTCCGATATGTCACAAGGGTTAAGAGAACAGAAATCCAAGCCATATTGCCTGGGGTTGAGTCCTGGTTCCATCACTTGCTGTTCAGTCCAAGCTTATAAAAATTAAAACAAACTTAAATTAGACATTTATATTAATGATTTTTTTAAAAATCAAGATCTATCACCCAGACTGGCACAGTCACAGCTTACTGTAGCCTTGAACTCGTGGGTCCAAGCAATCCTCTCTCCTCAGCCTCCCAAGTAGCTGGGACCACAGTTATGCTCAGCTAATTTTTTGATTTTTTTGTAGAGACGAGGTCTCATTAGGTTGCCTAGGCTGGTCTCTAATTCCTAGGCTCAAGCAATCCTCCCACCTCAGCTTCCCAAAGTGCTGGTATTACTGGCATGAGTCACCATATTTGGTCTAATGATACTTTACTGACACTTAAGTTGTTTCATTGCAGTATTATTCAGTCTAAGAATTTCTTCAAGCCTTTAATACTTACAAGGTTTCTATAAAATGTTGACCTTGGGTTTTTAGAGTCAAGTATTCAAATGCAAATACCAAGTAAGCTCAGGCAATCCTCTCCCCTCAGCCTCCCAAAGTGCTGGGATTGCAGGCTTGAGCCACTGGAAACAGCCCCAAGTAATGATTTTTAATAAACATTTCATAATTACATAGATCTGTCTCCAGCTAATTTTAAGATACTTTTCATAAATATTTATTGCAATGGTAATATGTTTTGGTTGTGAATTTTTATTTTTTATTTTTTGAGTTGGAGTCTCACTCTGACACCCAAACTGGAGTGCAGTGGCACGCTTATGGCCACTGCAGCCTAGACCTACTGGGCTCAGGCGATCCTTTTGCCCTAGCCTTCCAAGTAGCTGGAATGGAACACTCAATCACAAGAAAAAAAGGTAAATCATTACAAATATGAATAATTTTAAAGAGATAACCTTCATTTGTTTAACACTGTGTGTGTGTGTGTGTGTGTGTGTGTGTGTGTGTGTATATATATATATACTGAGTAAGACTCCAACTCAAAACACAAATAAATATACACAAAACAGTGTATATTTATTTATTTATTGAGTTGGAGTCTCACTCGGTCACTCAGGCTGAAATGCAGTGGCATACTGATGGCTACCACAGACTCGACCTACAGGTCTCAGGTGATCCTTCTGCCTCAGCCTCCCAAGCAGCTGGAACTACAGGTATGCATCACCACATTGGCTAATTTTTTGGTTTGTTGTGGAGATGAGGTCTTGCCAAGTTGCCCAGGCTGGTCTTGAACCCCTGGACTCAGGCAATCCTTTTACCTCCAACATTACAGGTGTGAGCCACTGCCCCTGGTGCTTAACACCATTGTTATGTGTCCTACAATATTCAAGACACTGTGGATAGGATAGATTTTCTACACAGACATTCATGTCCTCTATAAACAGGGACCATGTAATGCTTCTTTTCTGATTTGTATGCCTTTTATCTTCTTTTCCTGTCATATTGCAATGGCTAAGACTTCCATTATGATGTTGAATAGGTAAATACCAGATTTGGAGAGTAAGATCATAGATGTGGTTTTTGGCCTTGATGGTCACTAAAAGAGCTGATCATTTACAAGTTTAATTTTAAGTCTTTTCTCTTTCTCTCTACTTGTTATAAAGTGTGACATATCTTTCTTGAATAAATGTATTGTCTGTATTTAATTTCGAAACTTTATTTTATTGGGTATTCCCAGGCTCTACTTTCCTTTGTTAAAGGAATTGTGGTGTCACTAAAGAGCCAAGTAGAAGGCAGCCATGGTCCTCCAGATGCCCCAGCCTGTGATGAGGTTCTGGGAGAGGGCTTCATGGATGCTGATCTACATACAAACAGAGCACTCTTCTATTTGGGGCCAAGAACAAGAGGCCCATAACCAATTTGCCAGGTGATAAGTCTTCACTCATTATCTTAAATCCTACTTATGTGCCTGATTTATCCTAATGTAAAGGTTCCTGAGCTCCAGTTTTAATTATTTTAACTCTTAGCAAAACAGATTCTAGCTACATCTTGAAGGCAGAGCCAATAAGATTTGCTAAAAAGCTTAGGTGTGGTTCATGAAAAAAGAGAGAAGTCATAACACTTAGACTTTTGGCCTGAGTGGACAGAGGGCTAGTGCGGACAGTGACTAAGACAAGTCATAGGAGGCAGGATCTGGGGGGAGATAGGAGGTCGGTTTTGGACATGTTAGGCTGAAATGCCTATTAGATATCCAAGTGGAGAATGTCAAATAGGTTATATGAATCTAGATTTCAGAAAAGATCATCCAAATTTTAGGACTATCCTCACAAGTGTTCTGCATACACCAGGTCTGTAAAATTGTTCTTTAAAAAGAAAATTACATAAAAGGTTAAGGGTTCTGTTGGGAGCAGAATGCTAGGTTTGTCAAACATTGTCTCCTTTTTGCCAGTAGTTACTTAAAAATCACCCAGAGCACAGTGAGCCTGTAGGAGGCATGGAAGGTCTAGTACTGGGCCTACCTTCCTCCGAAGCTGTTTTAAACTCCTTTTCAGGGTGGTGGCCTCAGGGAGCTCCCTCAGAGTAGCTAATTGACCTTGAACTCAGAGAGATGGGAAGGTAGAGGATTCCCCCAATCAGAAACTCAATCAGGTGGACAACTCAAGCAAAGAAACAGTGAGAAGAGGGTACAAACTCCAGCCCCCAAAGGACTTCTCAGGATGGAGAAAAGGCCACAGAAGCATCCCCGCCTGCTCTAGAATTTTGTGATCCTAAGAAGGCAAGACCAAGTGAGACAGATCTTGCCAGTTTTCACACAGTCTTGGAACTTTGAAACTAGTACTATCCTTGGTGACATTGAGGACAATTTATTAGACTGGGCATGGTGACTCAAGCCTGTAATTCCAGCACTTTGGGAGGCAGAGTTGGGAGGATTGCCTGAGCCCAGGAGTTTGAGACCAGCATAGGCAACATAGTGAGACCTCATCTCTATAAAAAATTTAAAAAATTAGCCAGGTGTGGTGGTGTGCATCTCTAGTCCCAGCTGTTTGGGAGGCAGAAGGTGGGAGGATCACTTGACCCCAGATCAAGGCTGCAGTAAGTCATGATCACTTCAGCCTCCTGACAGAGTGACAGCCTGGCTCAAAAAAAAAAAAAAAAAAAGCACAACTTACTGTTTGCAGGCAGTAGTGATAACTTCATTTTCTAATGCTGTGAGTTAGTGAACATGTGTGATAGGGAAAATTGTTTGGGATTCTGGCAGTGACAGAGGGTTTCCAGGACTTGAAGATTTTGCTTGTCTCCCCAAATGCTGATTATGAAGTTGATTCAATTGTTACAGCGATTCAGTCAGTAGGCTCTCCTAGAAAGAACAGTGTACCACAAAAGGATGGAAACTCTATTCCAGAAGCTCTCCATGAAAGAAAGGGCCAGTGTTTGCAGAGGTTTCTATCATTTAGATTCATTTTATTTTCATTTACTAACTAGGCTTTTGTTCACCTGATCTTTCTTGTCTTTGCTCCAGAGTTACCTTATCAACTTTCCTTGTCCACCCTGTATAAAACAGTACCCCACCACCCACACCATACACTTCATATTTCTTCATATTTCTCTTTAATACTTACCAATGTCATTCTATGTATCTTACTTGTTTTGTTTACCGTGTGTCTTTTCCTAAGCTCTCTGAGGGCAGAAATTTTTATGCGATCTCCATTTTCTTTTTTTATTTTCATATAACTGTAGTGGTATGTTCATTTTTGTATCCTCAGCCTCTAAGGACAATGCTTCAATATTATTATTGAATGAATGAGTGATGAAGCTTATTTTTTTTTTTTTTTTGAGTAGGAGTCTCACTCTGTCACCCAGACTGGAGTGCAGTGGCCGCTTCCGGCCACCGCAGCCTCCACCTGCTGGGCTCCGGCGATCCTTCCCGCCTCAGCCTTCCGAGTAGCCGGAATTACAGGCATGCGCTACCACACCCGGCTGATTTTTTGATTTATTGCAGAGATGAGGTCTCGCCTGCCCAGGCAGGTCTCGAACCCGCGGGCTCAGGCAATTCACTCACCTCAGCCTCCCAAAGGCGCAGGATTACAGGCTGAGCCACCGAGCCCGGCTGAAGCTTAATTTTTATAAGTTCCAGGAAAGTTCAATGACGACATTGCCTCAAGTACCATAAAATTGGAAGTAATAATCCCAATTTCATGATTATATTTTTGAGATCAAAATGAATTTAAATAAATCACATTTAAATTGATACACAGAATTTATTTGTGCAAAACATATTTTTTTTCTTTTTGAGTGGGAGTCTCACTCTGCTGCCCAGGCTGGAGTGCAGTGCCATGCTTGTGGCCACTGCGGCCTCGACTTACTGGGCTCAGGTGATCCTTCCACCTCAGCCTTCCAAGTGACTGGAACTACAGACATACACCACCAAGTTCGGCTCATTTTTCTTGATTTATTGTAGAGATGACGTCTCACCAAGTTGCCCAAGCTGGTCTCGAACCCATGGGTTCAGGCAATCCTTTTACCTAGGCCTCCCCAAGTGCTGGGATTATAGGCATGAGCCACTGCACCCGGCCTGTGCAAAACATATTTAGTAACATTTATTAAGTACCTGGGGAAGGTCCTTTCACATATATGCTCTCTCCTCACATTGTCTCTGTTAGATCTTATTCACTTTTTTTTTTTTTTAAGAGACAGAGTCTTGTTCTGTCGTCCAGGCTGGAGTGCAGTGACTTGCTCATAATTCACTGCTGCCTTGGTCTCTTGGGCTTGAACGATCTACCCATCTCAGCCTCCTGAGTAGCTAGGATTTCAGACATGTACCATTTGCCAGGCTAGTTAAAAAAAATTTTTTTTTAAACAGGGTCTTGCTGAGTTGCCCAGGCTGGTCTTGAACTCCTGACCTCAGGTGATCCTCCTACCTCAGCCTCCCAAAGCACCGGGATTACAAGCATGAGCCACTGTGTTCAGCCACTAACTTCATCCTATAGATTAGAAAACTAAAACTGAGGGATAAAAATCATAGATCAGTCTTGAGACTTCAACTCAAGCCTTCTATTTTAGACTTCAAGTCTAGCTTTTTAATATTATACCTGTTTTTTTATTTTACAGATGAATCATAATTGACTTATAAAACACATTACAATTAGTCATTTTATCATACAAGGTATACTTTTTGTTGTTTGTCTTGTCAAGATAGAAGTTAACTAGCTGCCTCGTAATGAACGATAAGCCGGGCTCGGTGGCTCAGCCTGTAATCCCGCGCCTTTGGGAGGCTGAGGTGAGTGGATTGCCTGAGCCCGCGGGTTCGAGACCCGTCTGGGCAGCGAGACCTCATCTCTACCATAAATCAAAAAATCAGCCGGGCATGGTAGTGCATGCCTGTAATTCCGGCTACTCGGAAGGCCGAGGCGGAAGGATCGCCGGAGCCCAGCAGGTCGAGGCTCCGGGAGCGGCCACTGCACTCCAGTCTGGGCGACAGTGTGAGACTCCAACTCAAAAATAAAAATAAAAATAAAAAAATAATAAAATAAAATGCAAAAGCCTAAAAATACCTGTTTATGGAACACGTCCAAGCAAAATTTATCTACATTTTGACTTAGTTTTGGTTCCTGGTTTCTTTCTTCCTTGGTGTCATTCAAAGCACTTCATTAATGTATCCATGAACCGTTACTATAAAGAGATGCTTTGGTGGCTTACAGTTTGGGCTCTGGCACAAGAAGATATGATTGCAGACCCCAGCATTGCCCCTTATCCCTTGTGCAACCCTGGACAAATTGCTTAATCTCCGCAAGCTTAAATTTCCTCATCCGTAAAATGATTCTATTGCCCGCCTATTAGGATCGTGATGAGGTTTCAATGCATCAATCTTTGTGAAGTGTTTAGCATAGTATCTGGCACATGGTAGGTGTTCAGTAAATGCTAACAATTGTGAATCCCCCATCCAAGGGACTCATGATACAATGGGGAGAACAAACTTGCATTATAATACAGCAAATGTGGTTGCTTACATACTAGAAGTGTGTAGAGGAGTATAGAAAGAACATGGGAGAGGGAGTGACTCCTTGCTCTGGGAATCAGGGCATACCTCCCTGGAAAATGGCACTTGAGAAGTTTGCAAAAATTATGGGAGGAGAATTGCAATAAAAAATACAGTGACTCAGGAGCATGAGAGGCTGAGGCACGGTCTGGTGGTGGAAGAGAGAGAATTTAGCATCACGATAGGGTAGAATGTTTGGTGGGAGTTTTAGGCGAACCGGCTAGAGAGTCATCTTGGCTATAAAGAGTCCAGAGGGTGTATGCACTCCTCAGGAAGTTGGGCCTAATTCTGTAGATAGTAGGACTTCACCCAGAGATGGGCACTTAACAGTTGTGTGGCAGATAAGAAATAACACCTACCTCTCAGGATTCTTTTTTTTGAGCTGGAGTCTCACTCTGTCGCCCAGACTGGAGTGCAGTGGCCGCTCCCGGCCACCGCAGCCTCGACCTGCTGGGCTCCGGCGATCCTTCTGCTTCAGCCTTCCGAGTAGCCGGAATTACAGGCATGTGCTACCATGCCCAGTTGATTTTTTTGATTTATTGTAGAGATGAGGTCTCGCTGCCCAGGCGGGTCTCGAACCCGCGGGCTCAGGCAATCCACTCACCTCAGCCTCCCAAAGGCGCGGGGATTACAGGCCGAGCCACCGAGCCTGGCTTCAGGATTCTTTAGTTAACCTCTGTATGTACTGTCTGCGTGATAGCTATTAGTAGAGTAGTAATAATATTTTTCCAAGTTTGAAAGTTCTAAATCAACGTCTAAATCAGTGAGTTTCTTTTCATCTTCTAGGAATGTGCTGTTGCAAATACTAAAATGTAGATGTCCTGCTATTTGTTTTAATGCTAAGGATTTTGTGAGACTAGTGCTGCAAAGTTTTTGGTAATGATGGATGTTGGAAGCATGGCAAGTTGTAATTTTTTATCGCCTCTAAGATTTAACTCTTCGTGGGGGGTGGGAGATGGGATTAACAGTAGCAAATATCTTTCTGGGGACGGGGAAACACCTCTTATCAACAGGGTGCCTGAATGGAACGTACTTGTACACCTAACCCTTAACTGTACCCCATAAAACCATAATAAAAAATATTGATAAAAAAAAGATTTTACTCTTCAACCATGATTCCTGCTGAGAGTGGGAGAATGGTAGCACAACTCCTGAGAGACCTGGCCACACAGACTTCGACATGCCACCTCCTGGGCCCTTAAGCAGGAGAAGGCATTTTTCCCTCTATGTTTCTAGGTGATTTGAGTTTTTACAAGCATATATTACTCTTGTAATTTAAAATGTGGGAGGATTAACTTATGGAGCGTGGTCAGAATGAAATTTATTTTTACCACAAATAGTTTATAAACATTCTGCGAATTCAACTACAGTCCAGAGTAACGCCAAAACAATATAGGACACATATTTATCTTTAATTTAAAATAGTTCCTGCGCCTTTGGGAGGCTGAGGTGAGTGAATTGCCTGAGCCCGCGGGTTCGAGACCCACCTGGGCAGCGAGACCTCATCTCTACAATAAATCAAAAAATCAGCCGGGCGTGGTAGCGCGTGCCTGTAATTCCAGCTTCTCAGAAGGCTGAGGCGGAAGGATCGCTGGAGCCCAGCATGCAAGGCTGCAGTGGCCGGGAACGGCCACTGCACTCCAGTCTGGGCGACCGAGTGAGACTCCAACTCAAAAATAAATAAATAAATAAATACAAGAGGTTAAAGTAACCAGGAAGATATAATAAGTGTAAATTTCAATGTAACTAATGGACTCAAAAAATATATATATAAGGAAAAAAACTTACAGACCAATACAGAAAAGTAGACAACAATCACAATCATATGGGAGATTTTTAACATCCATCTCTCATTAACCAATCGAGCAAAAGGATGAAACATTAATAAGAATAAAGATTTGAACAATTCCTAATGAATAAGCTTGATCCAATGAGCATACACAGAACACTGAATATAGCAAACGTAAAACAGACATTTTAAGCATATATAGAACATTTCTAAAAATTGACAAATTGATAAAGGTCTGAAAACATATATTCTCTACCCATAGGGAAAATTTAAGCTAGAAACCAATTTTAAAAGGTATAAATTAGCAAACATGAAGATGTTTTGAAATTTTTAAAAAATATACTTCTAGCCAGGCGTGGTGGCTCACACCTGCCATCCTAGCACTTTGGGAGGCTGAGACGAGAGGACTGCCTGAACCCATAGGTTTGAGACCAGCCTGGGCAACTTGGTGAGACCTCGTCTCTACAATAAATCAAAAAATCAGCCAGGTGTAGTGGCAATCATCTGTAGTTCTAGCTACTTGGAAGGTTGAGGCAAAAGGACAGCCTGAGTCCAGTAGGTCAAGGCTGCAGTGGCCATGAGCATGCCAGTACACTCCAGTCTGGATGACAGAGTGAGACCATAGCTCAAACACACACACACACACACACACACACACACACACACACACATACACTTCTAAATAATCCATAGGTTAAGGAAAAAGTATCTTTACTAGAAATTAGAAAACATGTAGAATTGAATAAATGGAAATAAGACACAATGAAACTTGCTGGATGCAGTTAAAGCTGTGCATAAAGGGAAACTTATAGCCCTAAAATGCATATACAGAAAAGTAAAAAGGCTGAAAACAACAAGAAATTAAATTCAAATGAGTAGAAAAAAATTATAAAGAACATAAATTAATAAAATAGTGGACAAACATGCAATAGGTAGATCAATAAAGCCTAAGTGGTTACCTGAAATAACTAATGAAATTGATCAACTTCTAATCAAATTGATAGGAGGATGAGGAGACGAAGACAATAACAAACCTGATCACTAATGTCATGAATGAGAAAGAGGACATCACAACAGATGTATATATTTGGGAGTACATAAGATGTTATAAATAACTCCATAACAATAAAACTGAAAAATTTTAAGTGGAAAATATATTTTTTTAAAATGCAATTTGCCAAAACTTCAAGAACAAATTTAAAAACCTGGATAGTGCTATAATATTTGGTTGGACCACATAAAAATACCCTTTTGGTAGTTTAAAAATACTCTAATATTCAAATAACTGAAAAAAAGAAAAAGAAAAATCCAAGATTAGAAGGTTTTACCAGAGAACGATTTAGGAAGAAATAGTGCCAATCTCTAATACAAAATCTTCTAGAGTATGGAAAAAGAAAGAAGATGCGACAACTCTTTTTATTTTTTTGAGTAGGAGTCTCCCTCTGTCATTCAGGCTGGAGTGTAGTGGCACACTCACGACCACCCAGCATCAACCTGCTGGGCTCTGGCAATTTTTCTGCCTCAGCCTTCCAAGTAGCCAGAACTACAGGTGCACACTACCACGCCCAGCTAATTTTTTTTATTTTATTGTAGAGACGAGGTCTCGCCAAGTTGCCTAGGCTGGTCTACAACCCACAGGCTCAGGCAATTCACAAACCTCAGTCTCCCAAAGTGCTGGGATTACAAGCTGAGTCACTGAGCCCGGCTGCAACAACTCTTATATGAGACCAGCACAGCATAACTTTGATACTGATCTGACAAGACTATCACGAGAGAAAAATTATAGGCAAATCTAATACAATAACAGACATGCAAACACCCTACATAAAAACAGTATATAGACTAGCACAATCTAATACACTGGTGCGTGACTTCTTCCTCTCCTAGCCAAATGTATTGAGAATAAAATATGAAATAAATGAATGACCAAGACCACGAAAGAAAATTGATGTATCATAGCCAAGTTGAACATATGCAAATACATATGAACAAGGTTATTCACTAAAGCCTCTTTTGTACCTTTAACACATTGGAAACTCCTTAAATACCCGTACAGAAGAGAGTAGTTAAATAAATCATGGAGTACTATGCAGGTATTAAAAAGAAAAAAGGTTGGTTGCAGTGGCAAGAATCTGTAGTCCCAGCTACTCAGGAGGCTGAGGTGAGAGGATCACT